AACGAGCTGTAATGGTGTACCCATGTATCAGGAAATAGATATTCACAGTAAATGTAGCATAGGACACCAAACTAACCAAGATATACATCCAGAAATAGTCTTCAGCTCACAGTTCCAGTACCCGCCATCGCATATAGTGATTCATTTAGTTATTCATTTAGTCATTCATACACAGCGGCACAGCCACAGCTTCCATCCCGATCTCGAACGCTTTCCCAGATACTATTCGGAAAAGCCACAGGCGCCGGATATAGATCCCTCTAACTTCTGAGCATTGACCTATACGTGACAACTAGTAAGTTGAGTTGATCCCAACTTGCGTTGTGTCTTCTTAGGACCTAGATTGGGAGCTATTATTCGGAAAGAAGAATAAGGACTACCTAGATACTGATAACTACAACATGATCCATGCCCCATCAAACAATTCATCTCCGTGTATAATACATAGGAAACAACGTTATTATTTATACAAACAAACAGGCGATGATATTAAACATATACCGAAATCATTACTCTCATATATATATACCCTACCTTAAACTGCTTCTTTAAACTCCCTTCCTCAAACTTCCTCCTCAAACTCCCCACAATTCACCCTACCCACCCATCTCCCTCCTACTACAAAACCCAAAACCAAAATCCCCATGAATCCCCTTCAAACTTCATTATACACAACTCCCAACTCCCAACTCTGTACTACGATACACCCATTCTACATATCTCAAGACCTCAGTATCTCCCTCGAGATATTCAGATCCTTCGTATCCTCGAAAGACTTGAAATATCTAATACTCTCCGTGTGAGTGATATATATGAGATTACAATTCGATTCAATTCAATTCGATGATAAGTATCCGAGGTTAATAGCGGGATATCTCCAAGATTACAAAGAGATATGTAGACCATCTCCTTCCCTTCCCTTCCCTTCCCTTCCCTTCCAGTACTAAAAAGAAGATATAAGTATACAAAGAAATACAACAAACCATACAATAAATAACCAAATTACAAATTAATCACAAGCTTAAAAAAAGAGATAATAAATATCAATTCCCTCCTCACGAATACCACACGTATCCTACACAACCTACCTCTGTTGTGCTCCATCTCCATAGATGCGCAAATTTTACATACTCGTCTCGATCGAAATAAGTAGAGAGAAGGTATGCCGGAATAAATGGCGATGAGATAAAGAACTTGTAACCCCTAGCACATAGCACAACAACCTCTACATCGGGCTTAAACCCCATATACAAATCCACACTAGCAGTAATCGCGAGGGAGTGTCAACAACTCTACCCTATGCCAGCACTAAAACCCAGTAGACGAGAAGCGCAGGAAAGATTCAAGTAGCTCCTACGGAGATCGGAAGATTGCTGGCTGTGTGTGGTGACTGAGAAATGAACAATATCGCTAAGTTAAGAAAACTTACTCGCAACCCCAAAGAACATTTTCTTTCCCCCCCCCCCCCTATCCTCAACAAGACTCTCGCGCCACGGCACCCGCTCCTCCTCCAAATTCGCCCCGCCACCACCGCCGTCATAAACCTCTCCACCGCGGCCTCTGCGTCATTATCCCATACTCTTCATGCTAACCTTCTCTCGAAAATGCACATACGCACTCTTCGTAAACATCACATCACATCTGTAAAAACGGATACCTATCATTGTCATTTCTTTCATAACCCTAACACGGAAATCCTTCTCATCTAACCCCATTCAAGAACATCCCATCCAAGAACATAAATGCATTCATAAAAGAAACCATCCCAACCCAAAACAGACTCGAAAATCAAAAACTTCATAACGCTGCGAGCGATATCAACACCTTCGATTTCAATCACAACCTTGGATTTATGATAGCCAGTGTTCCTACCACTCCTGCAGGATCCGATCCTGTCTCCGTCACCATACCCATACAACTCATCCCCTTCCTCCAAGATTTTACCGATATCTGAGTGATGCTGCAAACAGCAATGAACAAACATGCTGTATAGCTGGCGCACCGTGTATATCAGAAATAATAAGAGCACCAAAGCAAACCCCAGACGTAGGACAGGGGAAAATCATTGCACAGCTTGGACATGAGTGCGATATATTGGGATGCGATTGTTGATGATAATGGATTGAGAGATATAGCGACTATGCAAGAGAAAGTGTCTACTTACCTACAAGGACCATTGCCGTGTCCTGTGTTTACAAGTAATTCAACGGCCAGCAAGTATTTATTTGAAGAAGATTCACAAAAAGGTTGCAATGTTCTTGCCATTCATAGACGAAGTTTGCTTTCATTTTGATTTGCTTGTAATATTGAATTGGGGTTTGAGGCATTTACTGATACTGATACAAACAGCAATTCCAGTGGATTATAGATGGTATCACTGGCAGCTTGAGGCTTGAGCACGTATGATGAAATGCGATAGAAATGGTACAAAGTAGTAGGATAGATATGCAGGCAAAATAGTGTTGCCCGAGGAAGAATTATCCTTCGAGACAGAAATTACTTGAGTATAATCTCAGATATGTGAATACTCGCAACTCAGCTCGAGTATTATTATTATGAAAGCAAAAGGGGTAAGGGGATATCGTAAGAAAGGTTCTTTCTGATACAATGTCCGCTTTGCTGGCCACACTAATGTCCAATCGAACTTTAGGGCCATAGTCTCAGAAGTTTATACATGTGTACGGCAACGTAGGCTGAAAATTATGAGTGTAGATTGAAGTCAGATAAATGCACGATGTTTATTAATCTGACAAGTTCGCCCTATACTTGAACGACACGCAATTGACATGCCATATTTCACAACAAGGAGTCAACTTGATAAGCCAATGTCAATGTCAATTGACCAGATATACTATACATCAGATTTGTAACTTGTTGAGAAAATAAAGAATGCCGGTCGATATCAGAATTGAAGTCTTTCATTCGACATATGACGATGCAATACCCATACGAGTACCTAGATAGGTTGTTAAATGTGCAGGTACCCTAGAAGAAAAACGATCGAATCGAACTGTTTACCCTTATTGCTCATCTGTACACTTAAGCCTCGATGATCGCGTGTGTGCGCGGGATTGGAAACACTCGCTTCCTTTGATTCATGTGGTCTAATACGAGGGGTTAGATGTATGTATGATATATATCATAATAGGAGAGATGTTTTGAAACAAATCAAATCAAATGACAAGGAATATTCCGAGAAGATGTAAGAAGACGTGCCAGCACAATCCATCTTTGCTTTCATGGTAATGATTTGAAGCATGCCATCATCAATAAAGCAAAAGATTCTTGATCGGCTCAAGGTTCCGGTCTTATGATGTTATTGGATACTTGGGCATTTCCAAGTTTTCATCTATCCATGATACACTAGGTACTTTTTGTCAAGGTGTAAAAAGTGTATGCATGCAGCGATATGTACCCCATGGCAGGGATTTCTTTGGGTCTTTTGTTTATCATTGTTGGAACATTGGGTTGTCCTCTTTCAATCTCTTGTGAAGAGAATGAATGATTTCTCAAATTGTAAAGATGGAGTATTCAAAGCAGCAGGAATCTTCGTGCGTGCAGGTTTCAACTATGAGGAAAGATGTGATTTTGATTTTCATTTTGATGCTGGTTCACGTCAGGTTGTGTTGTGTTGTGTTGTGTTGTGTTATGCTGCGTTGATGAGTTCCGATGATCAGGTGATTGATGGAATATGAAGTTGTGCGATGTCGGCGATAGGGTTGTCGGTGAATGTTAAATTGTACCTCCGACTTCGTATAGAAAGCATACCGGTACTCGCTCCCATGCGAAGTACCTAGTAGTTCTTCGACCGACCGATCAAAGGCAAAGGCAGAGGGCGTTCGGTGGGAAAATCCTTGAAAGGGAATGCGGTTGGCTGGTTGGCTGGTTGGCTGGTTGGTTGGCTGTGGCTCTTCTCTTTTACCTTTAAAAGGGAGATGTTTATTTCAGGGTCCAGCCAACCAGGGTCTAAAGGGAAACGGACGAACGCATGTGATCAATGTTGCATGAATGAAGGAGATGGGATGGGGCAGTGAAAATGAATACTATGGATTTGTTGGGAATGGCTTGGGTGAGATGGACAGTGAGAAATGAACGAGATATATGAATATGTATATGAGGTATGTACGTAAACTATCGACGATGAGGGTGATTATCAAGCACAAAAATGACTGTGAATGGTTTACATGATTTGACCGACAAGATTGAAGAATCGAATGAAAATCTACCCTCGTCATCGTCTTCTCTCGTGACTCTCGTGACTCTCGTGATTAGAATTGAATGGCGTAAGTATTTAATTTCAAATACAATGGCTGAGAACTTTTGAATGCTTCATTCAATCTTGTGTATGTAGAAAGTACTAGGTATTGGTACTCATAGTATCTTTAAGCTTCTTTCTTCTCCTCCTTCTTTTCTTCTTCCCTCACTCCCAGACCTCACTCCCAGACTTCACTCCCAGACTTCACTCAAAACTGCCTGGTTCAGAGTGAAGTGAAAGTAGTGTATTAGCGTCATAAGTTCGGTCCAAAACGGTATAGCGCCACTAGATAATGAATGATAATCAATGATAAGACCTTTTGCATTTCGATATCACGAGTACGATTCATTCACACCAAAGAGAATGAGTGACTGACTGACTGACTGACTGACTGATTTGGAGTACTTTTAGAACGACAACGACAACGAGAAAAGAAAAGAATAATAAGACTCATCAGATTATAAATCTTTCTTCTCTGTCGATTGATCTCTGACTTCTCTCTACTCATAAATCTTATTATTACCTACGCACCTTACCTAACTTACTTCTACCGTACTAGGTTCCTACTACCTATTCACACTCAAGACGCCATACCTACTCATCCTTACACAATCATCAATATCATACATCTTAACTCTACCTCGACATACAAATTCATTATCTAAATTACTTGACAAGATCTTATCAATCCACCTTCCTACTTTCCATCGTGATACTGCAAAATTGAACGGCTTTTATCGAATCATTAACTTGAACTCGGCAGATTATCTACAAGCAGCCTTTCGTTATCCTGAACCTCGACAATAACCAGCCAACCGGGTTCCAATAATCTCTCTCCGCCATCAATATCGTACAACACACGAGCCGCATATACCTTTCTACCTTCTCCCTTTTGTCTTTCTGCCGTGTACTCTCGAGAGACCTTGGCCATTTTCTGAAAGGCTTGCCAATAACTACCGAGGGCGCGCATATCAGCAAGCTCAACTTCGATACTGTTACCTAACATATTTCATCGTCGTACAACCTCCTCATTCTAAATCTGCTCGATACATAAAACTTCATTCACCTCTTCATCTTATCAAAGCGACAATAAGTGTGTCGATGCAGACGATTATTTCATCAAGGATATTGCCTCTTTCGAGTTGTTGAGTCGAGGGGAGGATCTTTCAAGGAACTGAGAAGGATATTATACCTTCCTGGATGAACAATCGCAGTCATGGCTTCAACAACTACTTCAACTTCATCCTTGTCGTCAAGACGGCAAAAGACTGGCGTGGGATCCTTTACTATCAATGAGCAAATTGGGAAAGGGAGTTTTGCCACGGTTTATCGGGGTACACATATGGTATGTAATGGAGTAGATGGCAGCCTTGTCATCTTATCTACCGTTTATGATGATTCTTGAGAGCTGTCAGGACCGAGATCTCTACAACTTCTGTCTCATATTCTCTGATACTTCTAATGCTAACGCGTCTTATCATAGCCCAGTGGAAATCTCGTGGCGATAAAGTCCGTAAACCTATCCAGACTTAATAAGAAACTCAAAGATAACCTATATGTCGAAATCGAAATATTAAAAAGCCTTTACCATCCTCACATCGTTGCCCTCATTGATTGCAGAGAATCTGCCTCGCATATACATCTGATGATGGAATACTGTGAATTGGGGGACTTGTCATATTTCATTAAGAAGAGGGATAGACTGGCCGATAACCCTACGCTTTATGATATGGTTAAGAAATATCCTATGCCGGTTGAAGGCGGACTCAACCAAGTTGTAGTTCGTCACTTTTTCAAACAATTGTCAAGTGCTATGGAATTCTTAAGGGAACGGGACTTCGTACATAGGGACGTTAAACCACAAAATTTACTTTTAATCCCATCACCGGAATGGATAGCAAAGAGGGCGAAAGGTGGACCGGAAGCCATGAAAGCGAGCAAGGAATCCGTTGTGGCTATGGTTGGAATCAATTCACTACCGATGCTTAAATTGGCAGATTTCGGATTTGCTCGATCATTACCATCTACTTCCCTTGCAGAGACTTTATGCGGTTCACCCCTTTACATGGCACCCGAAATTTTGCGTTACGAGAAGTACGATGCGCGAGCTGATCTCTGGTCTATTGGAACGGTTCTTTATGAAATGATGACAGGAAGACCACCTTTCAAAGCAATAAATCATGTTCAGTTATTACAAAAAATTGAGAAAAACCAAGATGAAATTAGATTCCCTAGTAGGGGTATCTATAGCAGAGACTTGAAGGATATTGTGCGACGTCTCCTCAAAAAGAAACCGGAAGATCGAATAACCTTTCCAGAATACTTTGCTCACCCAGTTGTGACCGAACCAATTCCTGGCTTGGTTGGAGATGATCGACCAAAAGAAAAATCTCCGGAAACTTCAATTGTCCGTCAGCCATCTTTGAGAGATCGTCAACGTGAAAGTCCAACTGTCAAGCATATTGATACGGCATATGAATCATTGATTACCAGAGATATCGGGGAGCAATCTCCAAGAACTCCTACTGTAGAATCCAATCAACATTTTGGAACACCGGGTCACAACTCGGGTCGTCCTGGCTCGAGAGATCGACCTCCTCCAATTTCTGCTGCAACTGCTCCAAATGTGGATACCTTGCCCAGACAAAGAGACCGCAAGGATCGCACGGAACCAAACTATGATCCAATTGTAAGAACTGGGTCCAGGAAACAACGTTACGATGAGCAAGCAAATTTGCAAACCAAAACCGAGATTCAATCGAGTAATTCTATTACTGAAGCCGAGCAAGATGTCCGTGATGCTAGAGAATATGTTCTAGTTGAGAAGAAAGCTGTTGAAGTAAATGCTTTTGCTGATGAGATGGCTGCAAATCCGCGACTTGGACGTGCTAATTCAACGCCTAAACAATTACCCAGAAGACATACCTCAATGGGAGAACCAAATTCGACAACAGGAGCTGTAGCTGTACCACCGTCACGTACAGTTCAAAAAGCATCAGGAAGAGCCCAACCAGATACATCATCTGCGAGAAATTCATATGGTTCTTATGGTAAAACTGGTAGTAGTCCATCAACTGCTTCAGCTATAGCCAAAGCACTTCAAGGTGCAAGTGTGAGAGTATTTGGAGTTTCTTGGTCTCCAACTCTCATTGGAAAAGGTCCATCTCCACAACAATTATACAACCCTTATCCCACTTATCCTACATCTAATGCTGGGTTGATTGGAGATGGCCGACCTATTGATGAGGATCAAAGAGTTGTCAACATTATTGAGGATTCTGCAACTCGAAGTGATGTTGTTTATGGATTTGCTGAAGTCAAATATCGACAACTTATTCCTTTAGCACCTTCTATGAATCATGGCCTAGGAGGTCCAAATCCCGAAAGAATGGGTGATGCTATGGATGAAGATGATGGTCTCACCGTGGAGGCTATTGTCAATTTATCCGAAGAAGCACTTGTATTATATGTCAAGTCATTATCACTTCTTTCAAAATCCATGGATATTGCAGGAGCTTGGTGGTCACGAAAGCAACGTGGTGGAATCATTAGTGGAGGACACACTCCAGGAAGTGATTCATCTTCAGCAGCTCAAGCAGGAAACCGTATTAACGGTGCAGTTCAGTGGGTCCGAACTCGATTCAATGAAGTTTTGGAGAAAGCAGAACTCGTTCGCCTTAAATTGGTCGAGGCTCAAAAACGACTTCCTGAAGATCATCCAGGGCACCCAAACAATCGTTCAACAGCTTCAAGATTGGTTGGTGGATCTTCGACCACTGATGGTGTTGTATTGAGCTCTGGTATAACTGCTGAAAAATTGATGTATGATCGTGCTCTAGAAATGAGTCGTACAGCTGCTATCAATGAGTTGGCAAATGAAGATCTTCCTGGCTGTGAAATCTCATACACAACTGCCATCAGAATGCTTGAGGCAGTTCTCGAAAATGATGAAGAACTTATTCCTCGCAAGAGATCATCAAGTCTACGAGAAGACAAGGAGAAATCTGAAGGGGGAGAAGTTAATGGTATCAATTTCGGTGACAGAAAAGATGTCTTGAAAGGTAACTATAATTCTTGGTTTTGTGAAGGCTTACATTTGTAAATGAAATGCTAATTTGAAAATAGTACTTCAAATGATTCGTACTCGTCTTCAAGTCCTCAAGAAGAAGATGACAGCTATTGCCAAACATCAATCAATGCCGCCTCCATCATCATCTCCACGTCGAAGTTATAGTGGAGGAACTACTCCTACCATCAATAATACTCCACCGAAATAAACCATATACAGACAAGCAAGAAAGCTGGTCTTTCGATTAGTCGAATGCATTATGATAACATGGACGTAAACGCAAATGCATAGTTTGGGCGTCATTCGAGTTTAACAACTTCCATCTCTTTTCTCACTCATTTCAGGCTGAATATTTTGTATGAGTTTTTAGAAATCTTTGGAATTTCTTTGTTTTTATGTGGATTTTGGTTGTTCTTTCCTTTTCTTTGGACTGGAGTACTTGGATTTGTGCTTCATATGGGGATTTCATATGAAAGCAGGTACATACGACATTCACTTCGTCTCACAACCTACTGATGATTATGATGGAGGGTTGGAATGGTTAAGATTGGCGTTATCTTACTTCATACTAGTATCGTTATTTTCAGTTATTGAGAGCTTGTGAATACACAAGCTGCTCAATGTTTTCTTTTCTATTTCTTTTCAACTTTTTGCAAGATTCAATGGGGTTAGGTTGGGAAGGAGGATGGATGGATTGATGGTGTTTGATAGAGACAGACACGCACACGCAAATGAATGGATGGATTGAATCGGACACTCCCTCTCCTCTCTTATTGGCGCAACACACCCAGGGATTTATTTGGATTTGGCGTTTGGTTGGGATTTTCATTTTACTTGTTGGATTGGATTGGTGATTTGGGAAGTTGCTGAGGGATTTTTTATTTTGAAGTATGGTTGTGCTGAGGAGGATGAGGCAAGGGAATCATGGGGTATGCATGCGTGCATGCGTGCATGGATTGCATTGATCTGCATCATAGTATCTGAGAAGATATCATCATATCATATCATGAAATGCAGTAGAGCAGGTTGTGGATAAGAAGCCAGGAAGTTGGTCAACTAGCAAGTGAGTAGGCAGTTTCAGAATGAACAGGATTTAGGATATTGGATTTCGTGGATTGGGATAGGATGGAATGGGATGGAATAGGATAGGATAGGATAGGATGATAGAGATACATTAATCACAATATGAGTGATCCATAACTATGTTGAACTATTCGTGAGTGACTGAGGGTGCTTGTGCGAATTACTAATCACTAATTACCGGTTTCCCGTTCTCCTCCTTTCCCTGCTTCCTTGGCGATTCATCCATTCATTCATCAATTACCGCATCATCTCTCTCCCATGATATGTACACAAGATGATTAATACGACGTGTACATGTATATATGTACATCATTGGAAAGTAGGTGATGATGTACAAGCGGGTAGGTATGGATATCACATATACACATCATGCACCAGACGTCACGCACCACATATTACGTATCTCACATCTCACATCCGACCATAGGATTGGCTATCATTCTCACATCGAGGTAATGGGATATCTTATGCTTCGATGTTATATGCTCTGCTGTTACTATCCTATCCTATCCAGATACCACACATACAACCTCTCCTCCCCTCTCCTCCCCTCCCTCCTCATGCAAACATCTCCTCAACCAGGAACCAGATAGGTAGGTATACTTGCTACAAGCCACCCCATCCCAAGAATCCCAAGGTGCGTTGCGCTCAGCAAAAACGTCATGTTTCCATACATCAACCACCCCTTCCTTCTTTCTTACTGTCCAAAATAAAGTAGGAGGTAGGTAGATCAAGAAACAGTCGATACCCCCTTCCCCCAAACCCTCCCAAATGCCTTTGCCTTCTAGGTATAATTGCGACTTCAACTTTATAGTTCCGTAACGTCAAGCAAATCGTCATGTTTTCCACTCAAT